GGGGGGGGGTTACATATTTTGGGTTATGTGCAGACAGCGGGTAGGGCGCCCGTCTCTGTCCAGAGCGGGGACTTTGTTTCGTCCTTTGACGTTCATTCGTGCTAAGGCACGGACTGTTATTGGGTCTCGCCGCCGTGAAGAAGGTGCAATCCCGCCTTCCCAAGAAACTTGAAAATTAGGGGTTGCATCTTCTTCTCAGAGGCTATTACCGGTATTACTGCTGTGCCCGATGGTACCGTTTTCCCTGATCTGATCTGTCTTCCCGCTCCCCTTTCTGAAGATGCGCCCACCCTTTTTCCACCTTCACATTTCGTCAATTTTCGTGACTACTGTAGTGTCTTCTCCCGAATAGAACGCCGGGTCATTATCGCTGTATTTAGACTGGAAATTGCCCCATATACGGATGTAGTGACCGTGCCCTCGATTCGAGTGGCGACCGTAGTGCGGCGGTCTTGTCCTCCCACCTTCTTTGATTCTGCGATCCTTCCAGAGAGTTCTATGTATGCTGGGGATGCCTTTGTAGTCGTGTATGTAGAGAGAGGTCTGCGTAGTGCGTTTTCCTGCGTATACAACGCACACTCACCATGACCGTATCAGACCGAAATACGGCTTATATACACTCTTGATGAGGGTGCTTTGTTTTCGGCGGAAGACGGTTGTTCGATTTCCTCTGGCGCCAAGGGCGAGAAACTGCACGTTTTCCAGGTCAAGTTCGATGTATCTTGTCCTCTCGTCCTTGGCACATATGGCACGTGGTATTTGAAATCGCGCGTTGCAACGTGACTATGCAACATTTGCTCGATTTCCCCAAGGACGAGAGAATAAGATGCATCGAACTTGACCAGGAAAACGTGCAGTAACGCGCCCTACTGAACGTGTTTCTGGTGATGTTCGGTGCATCGTATTCTCTCGTCCTTGCGACGTGGTGCCACATGGCAACACAAATGCCACGTGGCAACTGAAATCGTCCGTTGCAAAGGGAATGCCACGCGGCAATGAAATGCTTTTGCCACGTGGCGAGCAATCGCTCTTGCCACGTCACAAGCGGAACGCTCTTGCCACGTGGCAAACGGAATACTCAACCCACGTGGCGATCGGAATGTTACGTCCCGGGATCGCATTCTACGAGGACAGCTAACCGGCGGGCAACCGGGTCCAACCAACTGGCCTAGCTCTCTGTTGGTACACCTCCTGAATTGTTGAAGTACTACAGACCTGGGCCGAGGTCCCACTAGCAAAAACGATAGCATCGAGCTCCTGAATCTGGATGTGTTTTATGCAGAGATGCAGAAAAGCAGTTCAATCTCGATTTCCTGCACATCTCCATAACCTCGTCCAGATTCAGGCATTCGATCCGATTCTCTTCGCTAGTGGGACCACGCCCCTGAGCTCGATCGCCACAAGAACCTCTCGAGGTCGCTTTACACCACGTGGACAGGTAAGCGGCTGGAAAACCGGGTGCTATCAACTGCCCTACCGTCTTCACCGGAATAGAACGCCCGGTCATTACAGCTGTACTTGGCACAACTTTCGGTCCAGATGCAGCGATAATGATGACCAGGCGTTCTATTCCGGTGAAGACGGTAGCTCAGTTGCTACACCCCTGAACTGTTAAAATGCAGGCCTGAGATTGAACCCCTCAAGAAGCAGCAGCAGGTGATAACCGGGTCCAGTGTCGCGCCTGTTATGACTCGTTATCTCGACCGCCTTCCTGATCCACGCCGATGGCGAAGATTTTTGAGTGAAATCGGGTGAGTGGAAACGACCACAAGAGTAATAACAAGAGTATCATTAGAGTTGCTGTGAGCAAGCGTGTACGTTCGATTATTTATACTGTAAAATCCCCTTCGTCGTTTCTTGCACTATTTCAACCTTCTCTCCCCCTGTCTTTGCAGGAGCTATTCTTATCCTTTTGAATCAAGCATTGACATTTGGCGATTGACCTGTCGTTTTACTTTGTGTGCTATTCTATTCTTCTCCTTCCATGCATCAGATATTACTACCGTCTTCCCCCCAACACAACGCACCCTCTTTTTTTTTTCTTTTTTTTTACGCACCCTCATTTTGGCTGCAACGGACTGGAAAGATAGCTTGTGTACATTCGTTATCAGGGTGCGTTGTGTTCGGGGGAAGACGGTAGTAATGTTGATCCGAACAGATACTAGTCTTGATCTTTAGCCAATAGGCATAGAAAGGTATAAATCGGGCCGTGGAGATGACCATGGGTTGCTTGCTGAGAGCAAGCGTACGATGGCTATCGGCAAATTGATTTCTTCATCGGTTTTTGCACTTTTTTTTCTTTTGAATGACGCATGGACGTTTGGCGATTGACCTCTCGCTTTACTTTGTGCTATTCTATTCTTCTCCTTCCTTTTTTTTAATTTTAATTAATGTCTTCTTATTTGATGTTTTTTTTTTTTTTTTTTTTTTGCTTTCTTTCATGTAGCCCATCTAAATGTCGACTGCAATCATCTGCAGCCGGTTGGGATGACATACCCATTACTTTGTGCCATTTTTCTTCGTCCTTTTTTTTTTAATTAATGTTTTCTTATTTGATGTTTTTTTTTTTTTTTTTGGCTTTCTTTCATGTAGCCCATCTAAATGTCGACTGCACTCCTCTGCAGCCGGTTGGGACGACATACCCAAGGAGACTCCGTGGTTTAATTTCTCTTGTCAGAACAATCTTGGCTAACACCCATCCATTCTGTTTGAACTCGAGTTTTGAACCATCTTAGCTGTGACATCCATGACTCGATTACGATTACGATGGCTATCAGGGGTGGAGACCCTTGGGGGGCCTCGCTCCACTACTCACCAAATGTGCAAATTGAGAATGAATCTTACCCTGGAACATGGAAACATTCACGTGTATCTTTTCGTTTTTTCGGCGGGTTGCAGATCC